TTGTCAAATGGTAGCACATGGTTGCTTCTTTCTCGGCAGAGTTCTTGTAGAGGGCAAAGAGGAACGAGCACATGATTTCTTGCTTGTTGTTTCTCTATATTGCGTTTGAAGAATGCCTACTCAAAAAGGTCTGAGTATAAGTATGCAATTTCTGCTGTTGGTCAATGTATTCTGTGGGTTCGATTTGAAACACAGGGAAAAGTGCGATGTTGTTATTGAGAGAGATATAGAGAATACATCTTGCAGGAGCTCCTTAACCTTTTGATGGTATAATCAATAATGTTAGGTTAGCAGCTTGGGTTGTGAGTTGTAAGTGCTATACCCATCTACTTTTACGGTTTTGTCAACCCTGATATTGTGTTGTTTTAATAGAAACAAATGTTCAGGTCATTCTCGTAGTTGTATAATCTTGTATTACTGAGTCGTAGAGTCTTGCTTAAATTATTGTGTTCCTTCATGAGGGTCATCATTTCTTTTAAGGGGAATTCTCAACTAAAAACCTGTTAAATAATGCAGATCAGCTATCGCTTTCTACTTGCAGTTCATTTTTCCGTGAATTTATAGTCAGAAGCTTGTATATAACATGGGAACCCTTTCACGCAGGTTAAATTTTGTGACAGTCTATTTTCATCGGAACGGGCTAACTTTTGTTGCTCTTTAAATTTATTTTAGAGGCCATATCTTCTCTAACTACATTTGCATCTTGTTGGCTGCAGTGCGGGTGGTAGAAAACCAAACGAGACTATGAGGCTTATTGTGACAACTTTTGTAGGAGTAGTTTTTGGATTCTTGATAGGTGTATCCTTTCCAACCTTGTCATTAACAAAGGTGCACTATTTTTTTTCCGGGTATCTGTTACGCTCCGCTTTAGTACTTACCCAGATGATGAAACATAATTAATGTGTGTAAAATTTGACAGCTGAACCTCTCGTCCAGCCTTCTTCCAAATGTTGATCTGTCGTACAATGAGGACCAGAAATCAGACATCTCCAGGGAAACAATTCTAAGTGCTTGGTCTTCTACGAGGAGTAATAATAGCTCAACTAAAGCTCAGAGTTCAAATGGTACAGCAAGGGTATACCTCCTCTCCCTGACATTAGCAGTAGTAGAAATTCCGAAATGACAGGTTCTACATCACTGTTAACTCTGTATGTTACTAAGGGGTGCATTGAATCTTAGCTACTTCATAATTCAAATCCAGAACCAGTTCAATAAATGCATTTGAGGTTCTTGCGCTGTTCTACTACAGTACCTAAATTGGCTTCTGATTTTGGTCAAACGGGAGGGAAAAGTATCATTTTTGGTCAGTCCCAACTGGAGACGTTCTGGTTTAATAGTATTGATCGTTTGATCATCATTCCATTAAGCTCAATAAGGACTTCCTTAAAATTGATCCTTTGATCATCATTCCATTAAGCTCAATAAGGACTTCCTTAAAATAGAAGTAAATCTTTCCAAGGTTAATTGTTATAGTTCTTGGATTATAGTGTGGGAGCCATGATTCTCAACTGAACCCGCTCTCATTTATATGATTTGCAGAAGAGACAGATTGAGAAAGAAGGGGTTTCATTTCCCTGATATTGTTCACAATCTTCTCTCATTACTTTTATATTCCTTGTAAGATGAGGTGGCTTCATGTAATCACTGAATCATATATGCAATTTTGTACTTGCATGCTGGGACTCTTTTGCTTCGTTTTCATGTAGTTTTACTCTGAGGAGAGGCCTGATAGTTGCTGAAAATATGAGTATCATTTCCAATATAGTTCACAGCTTCCTCTTCTGGCATTCCAAATTCTCATTATATAGGCACTACTTATCCGAAGTTTAACACTTACATTTCCTGCAGATTTGGGTGCCGTCAAATCCTAGAGGTGCAGAAAGACTACCACCAGGAATTCTTGCAGCTGAGTCAGACTTCTACTTGCGCAGATTATGGGGCAAGCCCAGTGAGGTGTGTATTCTGCTGTTACTTATGCAATCAACATAGTTACAATTTGGACTTTCCACAACGCCTGGAAAAGTCCAATATATACTGAAGATAATGCAGAATGAATGGTGTTAATGGATTCCATTAGCATTTGATGTTCAGGGAACCATTTTTTGATATGGAGTTCTCTGTTATCCTGATTTGAGTTACTCGGTAATTTATATGGCATCCAGAAAAAAAATATATCATTTGACATGTACATGGTGATGTTTTTATGAATAATTTGATTTCTTCTTCTTCTTCTTTATTTTTATTTATTGATTTTTTTATCTACCCCTTTGGTAGAATTTTTGTTTTTGGAGGCATAAAGATACTTCTGATTTCAATATACTGCACCGTGATTCATTTAAGTTGGCAATTACAGGACTTGACCATCAAACCAAGGTACCTTGTAACATTCACAGTGGGTTTGAATCAGAAAAAGAATATTGATGCAGCAGTGAAAAAGGTCTCTCTCTCTCTCTCTCTCTCTCTCTCTCTCTCTGAGGTGGACGTGTGTCACTGAATATGTTTCTCTCACAGTTTTCAGAGAACTTTACAATTCTTCTTTTTCATTACGATGGCCAAACAACTGAATGGGATGAGTTTGAGTGGTCTAAGCAAGCTATACATGTTAGTGTCCGTAAGCAGACCAAATGGTATGCACAATTGCTAACTACTATCTGTACTTCAATAATGAATTGTTTCCCTGGTTTATGACTTTAAATTTTTTTTCAAAGGTGGTATGCCAAGCGATTTTTGCATCCTGACATTGTGGCCCCATATGACTACATATTTATCTGGGATGAAGACCTGGGAGTCGAGCATTTTAATGCAGAGGAGTGAGTGTTGTTTACAAAGTAATTCTTTTAGGTGAATTTATTAGCCTACAAAAAAACTTTCTTATGCCTCCCTTTCCAATCTAATTTCAGATACATAAAACTTGTGAGGAAGCATGGCTTGGAGATTTCACAGCCTGGTTTGGAACCCAACAAAGGCTTAACATGGCAGATGACAAAGAGGAGAGGTGATCGTGAAGTGCACAAGTAAATCATGAGACCTAAACTGAAATTTATTTATATCAGATTTAGTTTAAAATTTAGGGAATAATCTTGTAATCCTTGTTCCCAATTATTCCAGACAAACAAAGGAAAAACCTGGCTGGTGCACTGACCCACATCTGCCTCCATGTGCAGCGTAAGACATTAAGATATTAAAGAGGGCATTTTAACTGCTGTTTGTATAAGATTTGATCCTATACTTCCCTTTTGTCTGACATTTGTGTTTGCTTGTTTTAATTCAGTTTTGTTGAAATCATGGCTCCAGTATTTTCTAGAAGTGCCTGGCGCTGTGTGTGGCATATGATTCAGGTATTAAATATTGTAATCTTGTTCATTATCACCACTTGTTTGTGTCCTTAATTGATGTAGCAGGCTTGTTTCCTAATTTTATTATTGCAATACTTGATGATTGCAGAATGACTTGGTCCATGGGTGGGGTCTTGACTTTGCCTTGAGAAAATGTGTAGAGGTGAGTGACCCACGTTCTATCCTCTCCTGGTGGGATTCCAAGGGAACTCAAAAGTTATTATTATTTTTTCTTTCTTGAAAACAGCCTGCGCATGAGAAGATAGGAGTTGTAGATTCTCAGTGGATTGTTCATCAAACCGTTCCCTCACTTGGAAACCAGGTAAATAGCACTTCTGTCATTTCACATTTCCTTACTAAACGTTTTTTCAGATAATAGAACGAAATACTTAATCATTTTTGGCTTTCGGTAGGGTGAATCGGAAAATGGAAAAGCACCATGGCAAGGGGTATGTTGAGCCTCTTATTCTAACGATACAAGGGTTTTGCTATCTGTCTATCGACCTATCTATTGGACACCAAATATATTTAACTGTTTGTTGGTAAAACGCATATATAAGTTTGCTGATAACATTATTGTATATATACTGGTTCCAGGTGAGGGAAAGGTGCAGAAAGGAATGGACAATGTTCCAGATGCGGGTAGCGAATGCAGAAAATGCGTATTTTAAGGCCATCGGGGTTGATCCTTCCAATTCGACGACCAATTAGGAAAAGCGACGATGACAAGACGATGACAGAGCTGCTGTATACACTCAATGATCATGATCTCTATCTCGCTTAGAGTTTTACATAAGTTTGTAAAATCCATTATAATCGCCATATTCATTAATTGACAATCACAGTTTTAGGCCTTGAGTAAAACACGACGTCAATTAAATCCTTTAGAGTTTCAGTGCTTAGTGACCTCTACTTTGAGTGGGGTGTAACATATTATTGTTAGAGATATGTGCTTGTTAATTAAACATATACTATATACCAATAAATTCGAATTTTAAAGAGCCGATCGATTCTGCTACGGTAGAAAAACCCTTCTTTTATCTTATTATTGTAATTTTTTCAGGTGCAAGTGTAATTAGTTTAACCAAGTAAAATGTAAGGAGCTGGAGCTGGAGCTGGGTTGTGGACTTGTAGCTAGAGATGTGCTAGCTAGCTTCCATGGAAAAAGGTTGCCAGGCAAAATGTAGGGGAGGATTGGATTTGAAGACAACCTTCATTTCACGTGGTTTCGTGTTTCATGAGGAGCCGGATCTTGTCGCGTAATGCCTACAACTGTGGTGGTCACAGTTCACTAAATCCTAAGAAAAAGATTAAAATAAAATTTGTTTGTGTCCTCGTATCACGGTAGTGCAAAAGTGCAGCAAAATTCATTGGTATTTTGGGTTACATGTTTCAGATGAAAATATCTCTCGATAGTGAGATTTCAGCTACCGAATCTTTGAGCACCTCTCTAGACAGTAGCTCATCCTGCGAAACTATCAGATTGCATCCTTAAAGTTTTTTTGTATCACTCATGGTCCCTAATGTTAATATAGGTGCTCTTAAATAGTCCATCTGTCAAAAAAACTGTTAAATTTAGGGATATAATCGTCAAATCAATTCAAAATTATAAATTTTTTTTTTTTTAAATTTCCTTCCCTTCTCCCTTTCTTTCTTCTTCTTCTTTCTCTCTTTCTTTTCTTCTTCTTCTTTCTCTCCACCAGATTCCTTATAGCAAACACATCCAAATTTCTCTCTGCTCCCTAAACCACAAAAGTTACGACTTGATCTTCTCTGGTTGAGTTTTTCAATTGGGTGATTTTTTTGTGCGTAGGGTGGGAATGTGCCTTTGTCTGAAATGTTGGGTACATTTGCTCTATCTGTTGGTGCTGCTGTAAGTTCACTGACTGCTTCTCAATTGGGGAAACTTAATTAAATTGAATTGATTTTGAAGTTTTTTTTCTTTACATTGAAAATTGCTAAATCGATTTGGATTTTATATATGTATATTTTAGGTGGGAATGGAGTTTTGGGCAAGATGGGCTCATAAAGCTCTCTGGTACGCGATTCTGCTACGGTAGAAAAACCCTTCTTTTATCTTATTATTGTAATTTTTTCAGGTGCAAGTGTAATTAGTTTAACCAAGTAAAATGTAAGGAGCTGGAGCTGGAGCTGGGTTGTGGACTTGTAGCTAGAGATGTGCTAGCTAGCTTCCATGGAAAAAGGTTGCCAGGCAAAATGTAGGGGAGGATTGGATTTGAAGACAACCTTCATTTCACGTGGTTTCGCGTTTCATGAGGAGCCGGATCTTGTCGCGTAATGCCTACAACTGTGGTGGTCACAGTTCACTAAATCCTAAGAAAAAGATTAAAATAAAATTTGTTTGTGTCCTCGTATCACGGTAGTGCAAAAGTGCAGCAAAATTCATTGGTATTTTGGGTTACATGTTTCAGATGAAAATATCTCTCGATAGTGAGATTTCAGCTACCGAATCTTTGAGCACCTCTCTAGACAGTAGCTACCTATTACCAAGCTGCCAATATCTATTTGCACCCTAATACAAGATACACTTGAGAATAACTTATTGAAATGCTAAGGACAGTTACCTGCGCTTAAATCCTAAATCCTAAATCCGAACATTCGACGGATAGTTACCCACGTGCGCATGGACAATTGTTAGCAACAGCTGATGATGATAAGTGTGATTCGAGCATTACAAACATATTAAGTTATCCGAACCAGATAACTTGTGGGCTGATATTTTTGTGGTGTGATGTTTGCTTGATCTTCGTCAAAATTCTGGTGTGAATGCGATGGCTCACTGCCACTGCAATGAATTTCAGAATGCACAGACAATTAGAAACGCGTTACAACTATCCGTGAGCAAAGCAAAATCCATCAAACATTAATCGAATCAGGTTTTGTTTTTGGGCAGTGATGATGATTTTTGAGCACAAAAACGTGGACCACTCGCTTGGTTTCGAGAAGAAGTTATCAAATCATAAATACTAACTTTTTCGCATGCGTTTTCGTATATGCGAAAGACTTATTGAAATGCTAAGGACAGTTACCTGCGCTTAAATCCTAAATCCTAAATCCGAACATTTGACGGACAGTTACCCACGTGCGCATGGACAATTGTTAGCACCAGCTGATGATGGTAAGTGTGATTCGAGCATTACAAACATATTAAGTTATCCGAACCAGATAACTTGTGGGCTGATTTTTTTGTGGTGTGATGTTTGCTTGATCTTTGAAAAATTCTGGTGTGAATGCGATGGCTCACTGCCACTGCAATGAATTTCAGAATGCACATACAATTAGAAACGCGTTACAACTGTCCGTGAGCAAGCAAAATTCATCAAACATTAATCGAATCAGGTTTAGTTTTTGGGCAGTGATGATGATTTTTTAGCACAAAAACGTGGACCACTCGCTTGGTTTCGAGAAGAAGTTATCAAATAATAAATACTAACTTTTTCGCACGCGTTTTCGTATATTCGAAAGGTTTTTTTTAAAAAAATTAAATTTATTTTAAAATAAAAAAAGATAATAGGTAATTGTGTTTCATAAAAATATGATTTATTATCTAATTTTCTTTTTAATTTTAATTTTTTAAAATATGAAAAAGTGTGAATTTACCATATTATCATCATTTAATTAATAACTTCAATTCTTAATATTTGCATTAACTAATGACATTTTTTGGTATTTTGAATGTTTCACCATTCTCTATCTTTTGCTTTATAAAAATATGATTATTTGAGGGATATATTAGATAGACGTTCGGACTACATATATAAACAAATAGTTTTTATTATTAGTTATTTTTATATATATAAACAAATAAAAGGATATATATTGATATACCGACAGAGTCCCTCCACAAAATCATTGGTCTTCCACTCGGCAACTCCTCCGGGAATCAAGAAACTTCCACTCAACAACTGAAAGGTCTCAAAACCTGCCACAACACACGAACCCATTGGCGCTCACAAAAGCTCCGTGGAAACGTGGCGACGTCAATTTTACCCTTTTTGTGCCAGTCAGAATGTCGGCTTTTTATTTTTTTATTTTTTTTCACTCCATTATATCAAAAATAACCAGTCACTATCTAAGCCTTTCACAGAACCTTACACGTGTCGCCACGTGTTGCATTTGAATCATGAACCATGGTTAAATCCGTCATCTACCGTGGTTAACATGTTGGTGGCTACGGATGAGCCTCTAGGTATATTTATCAGTAAGCCCAAGTTGGTTTTAGTAGTAGGTGTGTGGTTTTGGGCTTGTCATTTGGAAAGGCCAATTCCTGCTTCCCATCCCATTTTTTCCATTTTTTGGTGCCTCTCTGGGAGACTCTTCATTTGCGCCATAGATTTTGCAGAAACTGAGAGGTGTTCTCTGGTTGTAGGGAATTGTGGGTGTCTTGAGAAATTAACAGAGAAGCACAAATGGGGCTCTCAAATTTTCCTAGTGCAGCAGAGGGTGTGCTTCCAGTGCTGGTTATGAACACAGTTTTGTCAGTGGCTCTGTTAAAGAACATGGTAAGATCTGTACTCCAAGTGATCGGTGCCAATGTGAATTCTCAGAGTTTTGAGGAAAACCCAGATGGGTGCCCAGCAGAGATAATTGCAAGAGAGAGAAGAATCTCCATTTGCCAGTTTAAGTCTCTGTGCCACAGCAACAGGCCTAACAATACTTGTGTGGCCAAAACGAACAGTGGGGCAATGGAGTGTTGTGTTTGTCTTTGTGGGTTTGAAGCTGAGCAAGAGGTGAGTGAATTGTCCTGCAAGCATTTCTTCCACAAAGGTTGCTTGGAAAAGTGGTTTGACAACAACCATTCTACTTGCCCTCTCTGCCGCTCTGTTGATTAGATATACAACAACTCTACTGAGGGTCTTTTACTAAGATGAGTTTTTTGGCTTTGGAAGCATTTCAGCTGTACTTTTGTTTTTGTTCTTGTTTTTGGGCCTTCTCCTTCCCTGTTATTTTTTAGCACAAATTAGAGAAAGTTCTGTAACAATGTTGCTTTGCTTTATTTTGTGTGTGTACAAGTACCAAGAAGATTAAAAAGAATAAAGGAAGCAGGGGATTGAGGCATTAATTTGAAGCCACATCTTCAATCTGGAGCAGAAGGTTTGGGACTTGGAATTGGACAGAAATTGTCTGAGGTAATTTCCACCACACAAAAAAAAAGGAAAAAAAAAGAGAAAAAGAGTGGAACACAAGTCTTGAAAGATTTCAGCATGTTTAATTTATGCCATTTATAAAAGAGACATGATTCAGATACTATTTGGAAAAACAGGCTCTCTTTTTTTTCTATCATTTGTTTTTCTAAGGGAAATCGAATTCTTTTATATAAAGAAAGTTTGATGCTTTTACTTTTTTTTTTCTTTTTGGGGTTTTAGAACACAAATAACTTTGAAACACCAAAGTGCACAAATCAGCAGCCTTAATTTGGACTGACGGCATCACATGAGATACAAATAAATAGGCATGTGGGATTAGTTTCTGATCTAAATTATGTGTAATAATTAAGTTGATTGAGTGGCTCTAGTTTAACTATGGGCCACGTTCAATCTTGTCCTCTGTCTCTAATTCGAGAATGCCTTTTTTTTCTTTTTATAGTTACATCAGGAGGGAAGAAGCCTTGGGGTTTCAATCCTGGTGCCGAGCAGAGGGGAAGGGTGAGGGCTACAACTACTGTAGTAATTCGAGCATGCCTTTTAAGCTGTAATGAGATGTTCTGGTGTCACCAAATTTTCCTCAAAAATAGAGATAGGGTTTTATTTCATTTATCTAATGCACAAGTTGTGTAATTTAACATGCATAAATGAGAATGAAAATAAGAATTTAGGTGTTGGGGTTGGGTGGGTTGGGAAGAAGATCAAGAAGACAGATTCCAAACTTAAAAGAAAAGCTGCAGTTTCATAATTCTTAAGAAATCGTCAGCCTTTACATACCAAATATCAGATACAAATTTGAAAGCAAAGCTTTGACATTATTTATCTGGTAACATATATAGCACAAGTTAGCCCATGCCCTCTGTAATGTATTATTGAGGGCTGATAATTAACCTTGAATATACAAGGGGGGGTTGTGCTTAATAATCTCTCAGGCTACTCTGCTGGCTCATGAGGAATTTCTTATGCTCGAACTTGATAAACTCATCAGCTTCATCATCAACATCTTCTGCCTTTTGAACCACATAGTTCTGACGAACTGGAGTGTGCTGATATTGTGCCACGTATGCCCTCCTTGTTCTTGGGGCCTCCTCCACAACACGTTCCTCAAACTCATTGCTGAACTTGACATGGTGTTTTGGGCGATGCTGATGGGGTTCAGAAATGGGCCTGTTAGGCATAGGAGCCACTACTGTGGTTACAAAGAACGGGTAGTCGTTTGAGTTACTACTTATGAACGACATTTTCTTTTTTGTAGTTTTCAAACGCTTTGTTTAGTAGGTTGGAGGATGCTGAGGTGAAGGGCTTGTATTTATACAAATATATATGGTTAAGGTTATATTCTTGGGTTTGAATTTTTGAGCTGCATTATATCTACAGAATAAAATTTTATTCTTGAACGATAAGATTGAATCTAATGCCTCTCTTTCTGGCCAACTTAGTGGTCTACAGAATCCCATAAAGAAGAAGCACTAAAAGACTTCTCTTGGGATTTTTGGATTACAAAAAGTTAGATATATTGGGGAGGAGGGAATTTCTAAGGCACTTGTAACTTTATCAATGGAATGTTTAGAACGAAATTCGGATTTGCATCAATGGTCAAAGCCTTTATGATAACAATTTGAGGAAACGAGTTTCGATCTTGCCAGGAAGCCAATTTGTATCCGTCACTTCATTGATTTGGCTATTTAAGATCACTTTCCGGAATTGAGTGTTCAATTTCATAATAATTAAGAAGTTCTAGCTACTGATCCATTAGAATTTTTGAACATATTAGATTCTGTTTGACAATCATTTCAATTCTCATACCATGGGATATTGCTAATTGACAACAATGACAGATGAAAAAGATTAGTATTTTACCACACCTTCTTTGTAAAAGAGAGGTTTGAAAGGCAGTTAAAAGTATGGTAGATTTTTGAAAGCGACTTTATTGAAATTCATGAACATGTGGTGATCATGGAGCAATTTTTACCTACAATTGGCACACTGTCGGCAGGACTTTAATAACATAGGTTTTTCAAGATTCAGATAACAGTGAATCGTCTTTCATAAGAAGCTGACACAATGAACAGGACATATAAAATTATTTTTGGACCACCATGAGAGTTTAATGCTTGGAGGTTCGGACAAGTTAGGGAACTTTTTATTTTAGCAGACACCAGTAGGGTTTTTTTTTTTATGACACGGGGTAAAAACCCCCAAACAAACCTACACAACACGAACTAAACGGGGCCTAGAGACCCCAATCATATCATCAAGACATCAACCAAAGCCGCTTCAGCCCAAAGAGGCAACGAGTCAAACCAACACACGCCTAAGTCCAGATCACCAGTAGGGTTTTTGTTCTCCCCAATTGCAGGCTAATATGTGGTCAACTTTTCAGATACTTCACTACTGAATTTTAATTCAAATAGACGAGGGTTTTGCATTTCTTCTTTCTTTCTCTTTCCATTTATCAGATTCAGCAAATTTCAACTGATCTAGCTAGAAGGTGGGAGGAATGCAGGGGAATTGAAAACAACCAAACATCCTGGATTATCACCAGCCAAGTTTTGTATTAGTAAATACGAGCTTTTTATTTATAGCTTTTGGTTCAGAAAGTAGCAAAGAAAGGAGCAACTGAGCATATCATACAGTGATCTTAAAACATCAAAGTAGAGGCAGCAGAGCATTTTGCAATGACTTAGCACCAAACAAACTTTGATGACAAAAATCTCTCCCATTTTAGGCTCCCTTTGGCATCCACTCAGATTCCTAGCCCCCGTTGCGCTTCCACCTCACGTTATCATCGAAGCCATGGCAGTACTGAAGGCCGTCGTGATTACCCCAAACGCTGCGCTCATATCTCATTTCCTGCACTCTCATTGTTGCAGGAACATGCACCTCATGGAAACTAGTCTCACATTCAGAATTCTCCATTGCATTGCTGAACACAGCACCTTGTGAAAACTGTGAGGCGTTGGTGACGCCTATGAGAGGCATTAACTTTTTGGCACCAGAGGCATGGTTATAGGAGCCACACCATCCATTTTGGTTCATGTTTTGGGCATGCCAGCTGCCATGATGCAACTGCAGAGCTTGGCTTCCATCAAACATCAAATTGTGCTTCAACAGCTGAGAGTTGAGGCATGAAGAAGGCACAATCTGAACACCTGAAAAGGCTGAAATATGGTTGTTGCGACAGTCATCTTTTGAGTGCCAAGCTGCCTCCTGGTGCATTGAATAGCTCTGTTGCTGAGCCTCCTGGCGCATGCCATAGCTCTGCTGCTGGAACCCGAAGGCACGACGCATTTTCTTCGATTGGAGTGTCTTATTATGTCTGTAATATTTCGATCTGGGTTGTCTCTGATCATGTTTGAGGTGCCATTTATAGGCTTGGTTTGAATGTAATGCAAGTTGTGACCAGATAAGAATGCATTTCAATCCGTATATTTTGAAAGAATACCATCATCTAAGAAATGCTAGGAGAATGGATGGGATTCCCATTTTACCTGAGGATCTTATCATTCATCAATGAGGAAGTAAACAGAGTAAATTATCAATGTTTTGAAAGTATGATTCTATTCTATGAATGATGATTAACACACAGTTGAGTCAATTGGCCAACAACGGACCGTGGGGCCAATACACCACAGCGACAGATAGGCAGTGCATTCTCCAACTACAATAGTTAAAAGGAACAAAAGTATTTTACGAATGATCCTCCACACCTTCATCTCTCCAATATATGTTTTTAAAAAAAATTAATTCTGCACAAGACATATTACATATATAATTGTTCATTTTATTGTTCCGCATTGAAACCATCTCCATTTCTTCCCGACAAACTCATATCCTGACAACTTCAACCAACACGACAGATGCAAGCTATGAAAAGGAAATTTGACAAGAAAAACGTAAAACTTGCAGGGCAGTGCAGATCATTGATATACTCGATACACATAGGGAGAAAAAAGAAAGTTCCAATGAATATCTTCAACCAAAAGGAACATGACAGGAGAAAAGAACATGCACAAGGGCACAAACTGCCCTATCGAGTGTACCTTTTGATCAATAAAAGATCTAAAAGCAATTCAGATGTCACAAATAAAGTCAGTTCACTGCAGAAACGAATAAAATGTCTCATAAACAAAATTTCCCAACAAGGGGAACGCAGGACCGTTGTACTATCTTTCCAGTATATCTGGGGAATCACGCAGTACACCAGAGCTAAGAAAACACAAGCACCTTGTGACAACTGTTCCCAGCATAGCAGGCTCCCTCTCAGTAGATAGACATGCTCCGCCTTACACTAAGCCCAACTCCAGTGAAAGTTATGTACAAAACATTACCCTAATAAGTACCCAAAAGTCTATCCAGCCCCCCAACATTTTCAAAGAATGATGTAAAATTACCCAAGCATGAGGCACAGCTATGTCAGCGACACACCACAGTCATCGATTGATTGTTCAGTTGAACCCTTAGGAGTCACAGAAGCTGCATGACCAACTATCTTTACAGAAACCGACATCAAACCTTGCTGGAATAAAGCTTAGCCACTCTCTCTTTCGCAATTACCAGGCAAAAGAAATTTATATCTCTCCGCATTCTCGAACAGATGGGATGGAAGATGAACAGCTGAGAAGGAATGAGGAACAGGTCCCATTTTCCCGATGATTTCCTTGAAGGTGTACTCTTCAGGAAGCATATCAAATAAATCAGACCCCTTGCAGATTACTTTCTGAACTCTTTTTGGGTTTAGATAGTTAGAAAACCTGACTCTGTCATAATGGCTGTACGCTTTCATCTTAAATACGAACTCACTGATATACCGAAAACAAAAGCTACAATGCCACCCTGCATCAGCTAAGATGTCATCTGTCTGCCGATAGTGTGCATACGTTGTCTTCCCTTCCCGGTACCTGTGGACTGAGGCTCTCCAACTGTTATTGTCCACAAGAAACTCAAAGGAATAAAGATAATTCTTCAGCCGAAGATGTAGGATTTCAGGAACCTCATCACACCACCTCAGGAGATTGATAGTGTGTCTGCTTGGGATCTCATCAACATCAGACATTATCAACAAGTCGTCCTCAGTAATACCAGCTATTTTGAGAAGCTTGTCAAGTGTTACTCGCTGATATGCCTCCTCAACAAATGGGTTTTCCCCTCTCTTGAATCTTCCTCCAGTAGTGCCGTAAGTTAACCGAGGCTCCACAAATTTGAACTGATCACGATAACGGGAAAAGAACAGAGGCTTTTGCAATCCAGTAAATGTTGAATTTGACTCGAGGAGAACAAACTGTGTTACGTAGGGATACAATTCTTTCCACCTTATGGTAAGGATGTCCATCTCATTACTGAACAACACAGCATCAAAAACACGCCTAGGGTACTCACGGATGCCCCAACCATGAAGTCTGCAGAGGTTCTCCATGGACACATTCTCATGGTAATAGTGTGGGATATCATGGAAAGGTTTGGGTGGTGATTCCCATAGT